AGACGACCAAGGCACAGCACGCTTTGTTGGGTGAGTTCGTTCGCTCCGACGGCCCGGCAATCGGGATGGTGCTTCTCCCAACATTCACCTACAAGAAGGGCTTCCTTTACAAGGCGGAAGCAGAAGCGCAATCAAGCATCGGCCAGCACGGCCTCTTCATTGACAGATCTATATGCTTGCACTTTACTGAGAAACCAGAGGAGCGTTCAGAACGGCCACTCATGATCGAGGGGGCCTTGGTATTTGCTGACGACGACTCCAACCGCATCAAAGCGTGGAAAGGCATTCCAGCATTCAAGGATCCAGTCATTGCATGCGGCGCGCAGCTCCGCACCAAGGATATGGTCACTGTGGAAGATGCCGCGATGGAGGCGTTGCCTGCGACAATCGAGACGGACGCGCACGCCGGCCAAGGAGAGAAACATCACCAGCTTGGCGTGCCAGCTTACCTCCGCGTGCTCAACGCAATGCTTTCAGGTCTCCCAGGTGATCAACGGGGGGCGACGATGGTGATCGACTTGTCCTTGCACACTGCTGACATGCTGAAGGCGTTCATCACGTTCAGCGAGACGTTCGGGCAGCAAGTGGCATACGTCGGCATGTGCGCAGACGAGATCTCCGTCGACTTCTGCAAGGCTGAGGGTACTCATTACACCAAGCAACGCATCTTAGCAGGCGACATGAAGGTACCCCACTTCAATGTTCCGCCAGCTGAGGTGCCGTCTGATAGCCAGTCGCCAGAGATTCCCAAGCCGCAGCTCGTTGCCATGCGCTGGACCGGCGACCGCCCGACGATTGCCGAAGTCGACCTGCAGAAATGGAGCGGACACGAGGTCTTTGCAGAGCAGTTTTCAGACATGGTGGCGACGCTTGAGTTTGAAACTGGGTTCGACCTCGTAAAGGGCAAGGACAAGGACAAGGGGGAGACAGACAAGGGTGACAAGGCAGCTTCGCCTGGCAAGACAGGTGCCGACCCAGCGGAGCGCCCAGCAAAGGTCGCTCGGACGACAGAGCCTGATACGTTCATCGACGAATCGACCATCGCTACTCAGATCATCCACGACGTCCCGCTCACTTCCATCAATGGGAAGACGGGGAAGCTCTATCTACGCGTGTGCGTGAACAACGAGATGTACATCGTCAACAAGGGCACAGAGGCAGCAAAGGTGTCGCAAGGCGCCATGCTGGCTGGTTTCTCAAAAGGGAAGTGGACGAATGACATGCTTGAGGACAAGCCCGAGAAGTACATCAAGTTCGAGTTGGCCGATTGCGACAGTCTTGTCGTCTTCAACGCTCGGATGTGTCGCGTCGGGGCGCTTGTGAATGAGAAGCGTTTGACAGAAAGTGCAGATGAGACGAGAGTGCGCTACCACAGCCTCGTGGAGAGCCCGACGGACGACGACCACACAGCCTTCAAGCTCAACGTCTCGCAGACAGTATACTATCGCTTGGCCGGCGTGGCCGTCAAGGAGGAGGACAACGCTAAAGCTCCTTCTCAGAACAACGTGGGCGGGACCATGCCGGCAACAGCGTGGGACACCAAGAACACAGGCATATGTTGGGTCATGCAGTGGCGCAAGAGGAAGGGCTTGCAACCCGCTCGCCCGCAGGTGTGCTGGAAGGCAAGCGATATCGACATCTTGCCTGGCAAGGCGTTGAAGCTCATCCAGTGAGCTGGGCAAGCGGGCAGGGCGCCCCAGATTTTGATGGAGCGCGAGTGGCTACTCGCGCTAGCTCTCGATGAACAGGTGGGCTGAGCTAGCTCACCGCACGGCGTCTTTGATATTTTGGACAGGTGGGCACAGCTCGCCCGTTAGCGCGAATGCAATCACACCTCCTCCTCCCCCTTCCTCCCCGCCATCCTTATCATAGTGTTTCGCCTCCCTTGAAATCCACGAGGAGATCCAATATGCGGGGCCAAGTTCTAATTTCTCAAAATGTTCCAACTCTCATTTCTGTGCCACCCCGCTGCCCTCCTCTGAGCCTTCAGCATCATCACCATATTGATAGCTATATTGATATCATCTAGGTGGGTTATCAGCTCGCCAGCTCGCCCCATCGTCTGAATTAGCATCATCATGATTGCCGAGTTGGGCGCTCACCCAGGTCTCCTCCGCGGGTTGGCGTCGCTAGCAAGTCTCTGCCAAAATATCCTCCCAGTCCTCGTGAGCCTTCCTTGGGCTTCCTTCCCTTGAAACCGAAATTTGGTTTAGTTCAATTCTTGCAGGTGGGTCCTCATTGACAGCTCGTGGGCCCAATGGACTCCAAGAAGGCATTCCAAAGTCCGGAATGTTTGAACCGATTTTTCTGGACTTCGGCATGCCCTCCAGAAGAACCCATTGAGGCCTTCTTGGAGCCCTCTTGGGACCTGGGCTCATGGCCCCGCGAAGGCAAGGGGGCCATTAGGCCACGGGGCTCGCCAAGTGACACCATCAGTGTGAAGTCAGCGCACCTTGATCGCAAATTGATGGCCATTTTCTCAGGGCTCCAAGGGGCGGCGGGCGATCCAGCGCCCGAGCGGCGGCTGCGGAACGCAGCAATGGGAATGGTGGGGGAAGTGGGCCAATGCGATGAGTTGTGGCTCCATGGCATCAAGGAACCCTCTGGGCTCTACCTTATCACTGGCCAGCAGCACCACATCAAGCCGATGTGGCAGCGTAAGGATGGCGGGTACCAGTTCATTTTTTGGGATGATCGCGACGGCCCTTTCACCGGCTGGTGGGTTCTGAAGTCCGACGATTACGACTGGGCGTTCGCGCGCCACGAGAACGTCGCAGCTGCCACGCCGCCAACCTACGGCTGGTTCGCGCCATTTCAAGACACCACCAGCACCAACGACAACGTGTACCTTGTCCCGGCGTCGCAGAAGGTGAAGCAGCAGGCGAAGCCAGAAGGTGAAGCAGCAGGCGACGCTGAACTTGGCAAGGCTGCCAAGGCTTGGAAGAACGTCGAAGAGTTACGTCAGGCTGCTCTGGGGAAGCGCGAGCTGGACGGACACGAAGGCGAAGTGGCAGCAGCAGATGGCAAGGCTGCCGAGGCGTCAGGCTCAGGCTCAGGCGACATGGCCTGGCTAGTGCAGGAGGTGATGCACGCCAACGAGCGCATGGACGCGTTCGATGGGCGCATCGAGGCGCTGCAGAGGGACATCGAGGATATCAAGCAGGCCTTGGGACCAGAGTTCATCAAGCGCCAGAGGCTGCAGCAGCATCAGAACGAGAAGAAGAAGCAACTGACGCCGCCGCCGCTCTACATGGTGCGCTATACGATGCGCTCGGACGGCCGCGCCAGGACAAGCAGGTCCCTGGTGCACCCCTGACCGTCGCGCCACGGCGAACTGGAGGCCAGGTGGCCACCAGAAAAGTATCAGCGTGATCATCGTCAGCATCATCATCGCTAAGTGGGCATCCTGCTCGCTAGCATCGCCATCGCCAGCATATCCTCCTCCTCCTCCTCGTCCTCATCCTTCTCAACCTCCTCCTCCTCCTCCTCCTCCTCCTCCTCCTCCTCCTCCTGCTCCTCCTCCTCAGGCGTGAAACCACTAGGGGGCACAGGCGTGAAACCACTAGGGGGGCAGGCGTGAAACCATTAGGGGGGACAGGCGTGGAACCACCAGAACCTGGAGGAGGACGAACTCCCGCAGACGCCGCAGTGCGCATGGGGCCCACGCCGGGCCGCGGGACGCGAAATCTGGCGGGGCAAACTCTTTAGGAAACCCCGGGGAGCAAAATCTGGCGGGGCAAATTCTGTAGGAAGGTCAGCCCAGTAGACACCCCACGGGATCACGGCGAGGAAGAGGGGGGAAGCAAATCTGGCGGGGCAAACTCTCTAGGAAACCTCGGGAAGCAAAATCTGGCGGGGCAAATTCTGTAGGTAGGTCAGCCCAGTAGAAGACCTCTCGAGGACCCTCCCACCCTCTGCTGGCCCCCTCTTGGGCCCCTCTTGGAGCTCCAAGAGCTCCAAGACGGCTCCAAACAGGCTCCAAGAGGGGCGCGCGAGGTCTCATCGAACCGCCGTGTTCGATGAGACCTGGCGCGCTCCTCTTGGAGCCCTCTTGGGGCCTTCGTGGCCCCCTCCCAAGACCTCTCGAGGGCCCTCCCACCCGATGCTGGCCCCCTCTTGGACCCCTCTTGGAGCTCCAAAAAGGCCGCCAGAGAGCTCCAAGACGGCTCCAAACAGGCTCCATGAGGGGCGCGCGAGGTCTCATCGAACCGCCGTGTTCGATGAGACCTGGCGCGCTCCTCTTGGAGCCCTCTTGGGGCCCTCCCACCCGATGCTGGCCCCCTCTTGGACCCCTCTTGGAGCTCCAAAAAGGCCACAGGGGGGAAGAGGAGGAGGAGGAGGAGGAGGAGGAGAAGGAGGAGGAGGGGGAGGAGGGGAGGAGGGGGAGGAGCGGGGCGGGAGGGGGGGCGCGCTTGCTGCCTGCTCCTAGCAGCAAGCTATGCTGTGCTATGGTATGCGTCGTTTGCCGTTACTACTAATGCTGCTTTCCTGAGGGCTCCAACTCCTAGGTAGGGTCGCGCTGGGATAACTTTAGGGTTGGTGCTGATACGCAAAGCGTCAATAATGCAAATCTACCATCGCACCCGTGTTGGCGATAGTTTGAATGGGGCGAGCTGACAGCCCACCAAAGTGACCCACCTAGATAACAGCGAGCTGAACGCCCACCAATGTAGCAATGATGCGCCTAGATCAACGCGCTAGTGTAAAAACCGAATGGGTCGAAACAAAAACCGATTGTCGTGAAACTTCCTTCCGGGGCTCCCGGCGTTCCCGGCGCTCCCGGCGCGCCCGGCGCTCCCGGGCCCAGGTTCCACCCCTTACGCGTTCTGGCCAGGATTCCGCGGGGGATCCTGCTGTGGCGACGAGAAGCCTCCACGAGGCCCCAAAAGATCCAGGGACATCATCTAGAAACTGGTCCTCGAACCTAGACCCAGGCCGCGAAGCATGAGCAGCTCCCGCTCCCATCTTCTCTCCGCCACTCCGCGCCCCTGGCGGCCGAGGGGCGAGATCGACAAGCGGCGGAGACGGGTGGAGGCGCCGCGGCCTGCTCCCGCGGCTCCTTTTCTGCAAGGGCTGGGGAGACAACGACGACGTCGTCGGGCCACGTTGTTTTCGCCGTCGTCGACATCGACGTCGTCGTCGCCGCCGCCCTCATCGCCGTGGGGCAGGGCCCCGGTAAGGGCCCGAAGCGGAGATGGCGAGGCTGCTGGAGTTCACTGCCAGGGGGTCGTGGGCAGTGCAGAGCTGCCCAGTGCCGGGTGCCGGCGAGGACTTCGTGATCTTGCGGCGCGAGACAGGGCGTAGCCGTAAGAGTATTGGCAGCAGTAGCAAAAGCAGTGGAAGACAAACTAGCAGTAGGGGTAGTCGTGGTAGTACTACTACTCGTCGTCGCCGCCGTAGTAGTAGTAGTAGTCGTCGTCGTCGTCGTCGTCGTCGTCGTAGTCGTAGTCGTAGTCGTAGTCGTAGTCGTAGTCGTAGTAGTAGTAGTAGTAGTAGTAGTAGTAGTAGTAGTAGTAGTAGTAGTAGTAGTAGTAGTAGTAGTAGTAGTAGTAGTAGTAGTAGTAGTAGCAGTAGTAGTAGTAGTAGTAGTAGTAGTAGTAGTAGTAGTAGTAGTAGTAGTAGTAGTAGTAGTAGTAGTAGTAGTAGTAGTAGTAGTAGTAGTCCGTGGTTTCCTTATGGTTCTTCTTTCTTTCCATTATCCTTGTCTTCCCTTTTCTCTTCCCCCTTGTCTTGCGTCTGTCCCTTTCCTTATATGTTTCATTATATTGAAAATAAAAGGGTGGATGTTGCATCTGAAAGTGCGTTTACCGTAAGGGTTTTGTGATTTCGTGCTTGGATGTGTGGTGGCCCGCGATGATGGAATTCAAAGCGATGGAAGCGAACGCCCGGGGCGTCCTGACGTCGTGTTTGGTGATGATGGCAGAGGTACTGACGATGGCGGGGTTACGGAAGGACGCCAGCAATGTTGATCATGATGATGATGATGACGATGATGATGATGATGATGATGATGATGATGATGATGATGATGATGATGATGATGATGATAATGGTGACGGTGGTGGGCTGATGCTTTGTGGTGAAGATGTCGACGATGGTGATGAGGGAGGTGGTGACGAGGATGTGGATCGTTGTGATGATGTTATGTAGAAGGCCGACGACTAGTTGACCATATGTTTGAAGGCGTTCAAGTTAGAAAATGCGTCATGTTGAGCTGGAATGGCCCGAATGCGCCGTGCTCATAGGAATGTGATCATCTACCGCTATTGCCGCATGCCCCCCTTTCCCCGTGCGGCTACCCATGAGGGACAGAAAGGGGGAAGGAGACTAGGACGGTGAAGGCTACGAGATTGTATGCAGGGTTTGCTTAACCGGGCACCATGCATGGTTGTGAGGGTGTGAGCCATGTGATGCTCAAGGTGTAAATCAAAGCTGGTAGGGATATGGTTGATATAATAGAGTACGCAGTTGTGCAGATACGATGTTCGTGTTGAGTAATGTCGAGTGTTGAGTTATGGCAGTCATCCACTCCCTCGTGTTGTACCAACCCGAAATCATGGGGGGTCCTGACAAACGCTCAGGGTTCCCGCTAATTCCCGAAGACCCCCAAAAATCCCCGAAGACTTCCAACTGCTTTTTGGAACCCAGAGGAATACGGAGGCTTCCTGATAAATGCTGAAGAATATTGGGGACTCCTGAGGATTCCTGAGGCCCCACCTGCATGGTGGCAAACTAGGAGGAGGAAGAGGAGGAGGTGATTCCTAAAGATTCTTAGGGGGCTTCTGCGAATTCTTGAGGGCTCTTCTTGTGATTCCTGGAGATTCCTGAGGATTCATGAGGAGTCGTCAGGGTTCCTTCCTCGCCCCTCCTCCCTCATCCCTCCTTCCTCGTCGTCGTTCTCCTCCCTCCTCGTCCTCGTCGTCGTGGGGCGCCCCAGCGGCCCGCAGGTAGGGGCGGCGTGCCTGGGGGGGGGGGGGCAGGCAGATCCCTGAATTCGGGATCCCCGAACACTCGGATCACGATCCGAGTGTTCTTCTCACCCGGGAACGCTCGGAGCACGATCCAAGTGTTTTCTAACAGAGAACGCTGGACAGCCCCAGAGGACAGACGGGGAGGGGAGTCGGGGAGGGGAGTCGGGGGGGAGAGTCGGGGAGGGGAGTCGGGGAGGAGAGTCGGGGAGGAGACTCGGAGAGGAGACTCGGGGAGGAGACTCGGGGCCCTCTCCGCTCCTCCGCACTCCTCCCTTCATCCCACTCCACGGCACTCCTCGCGATTCCAACTCCTCGGCGCTACTCCGCACTCCTCGCTAGGCACTCCGCACCTCTCCCTCGACACTCCTCGGCACTCCTCCCTCGGCACTTCTCCCTCGGCACTCCTCCTCGACACTCCTCCTCGGCACTCCTCGGCATCCCTCCTTCGGCACTCCTCCCTCGGCACTTCTCGTCGGCACTCTTCGGCACTCCTCAGCACTCTTCGGCACTCCTCGGCAGTCCTTGGCATTCCTCGGCACTCCTCGGCACTCCTCGGCACGTCAACGTCGTCGTCGTCGTTGTCGTCGTCGTCGTCGTCGTTGTCGCAGTCGTCGTGGGTCGTCGTCCGCCAGTCGTCGTCGCCGCAGCCGCCGCAGGCGTCGTCGTCGGCCCTCCTCCCCACCCATTCCCAGGCGTCGCCGCTGGGCGTGCCACTCGCACCCCCCTGCCGAAGTTCACCTTTGCAAACTCTTGACGTTTCGAGTGCCACCATCGTGGCCTCCTGTGGCTTCCACTTGCTATCCCATCATGGCCCCCAATCGTGACCAACGTCGTGGCCCCTATCGCAATTGTGTACAAGCTGTTCAGGGTGTTCTGCTGCAAAGGTGTCAGATTCCATCCGCATCTTTTGGGGAAGCCCGATCGTGTCGAACGGCACGAGGAAGGTGAAGAGGAGGAGGGGGAAGGCACGAAGGACGAACGAAGGAACGGACGATGACAAGGAAGATGAGAGGTCGAGCTTTTGCTATATGGTGTTGTGGACGGTTCTTGGATACCCGCAATTCTGACATCCGACGGTGTTGTGGACGGTGTTGTTGAGACTCCGAAGACATCCTCACAATTCTGACCTCGGGGATGTCCTGCCCCATGGTGGTCTGGCCACTTTCGCCTGAGACATCATCGCAAATCTGAGTTCCGGAATGCCCTGAGGTGACATGGCCCGGCCATTTTCGCATGAGACATCTTCGCAATTATGACCTAAGAGATGCCTTGCCCCATGGTGATCCAGCCACTTTCGCCTGAGACATCCTCGCAACTCTGGGTTCCGAGATGCCCTGAGCCCAGGTGGTCCAGCCACTTCCGCCTGAAACATCCTTTAAACTCTGACCTCGGCGATGCCCTGCCCCATGGTGGCCGGGCAACTTTCGCCTGAGACGTCCTCACAACTCTGGGTTCCAAGATGCCCTGAGCTCAGGTGGTCAGGCCACCTTCCGCCTGAGACATCCTCGCAACTCTGGATTCCCTACATTCCCTGGTCTGGCCACTTCTGCCTGAAACATCCTCGCCATTCTGACCTCGGAGATGCCCGTGGTCTGGTCCGAGATGTCCTGAGCTACGGGCGCACCTCTGACATCCGAGTTGCCTTCCATCTGGATATACACATTGCGAAAACACATGTTTGCACATATGTGTTCCACAGGACACACAAAGTCGGCGCGGCTCGGAGAGAAGATTCTGGGAGGAAGAGTCGGGGAGGAGAGTTGGGGATAAGAGTCTGGAAGGAGACTCGGGGACGAGACTCGGAGAGGGGACTCGGGGACGAGACGCGAGGAGGGGACTCGGGGACGAGTCTTGGGGAGGGGACTCGGGGATGAGACTCGGGGACGAGACTCGGTGACGATACTCGGGGACGAGACTCGGGGACGAGCCTCGGAGGCGAGACTCGGGGACAAGACTCGGGGACGCGATTCGGGGAGGAGACTCGGGGGCGAGACTCGGGGAGGAGAGTCTGGGGGGGGAGCTGGGGAGCAGAGCCTGGGACGAGACTCGGGGACGAGATTCGGGAAGGAGACGCGGGGAGGAGACGCGGGGAGGAGACTCGGGGGGAAGACTCGGGGACAAGACTCGGAGACGAGACTCGGGGACGAGACTCGGGGACGAGACTCGGGGAGAAGACTCGGGGTCGCGACTCGGTGGCGAGTCTTGCGGAGGGGACTCGGGGAGGAGACTCGGGGAAAAGACTCGGGACGCGATTCGGGGACGAGACTCGGGGTCGCGACTCGAGGGCGAGGCTCGGGGAGGGGGCTCGGGGAGGGGACTCGGGGAGGAGACCCGGGGACGAGACTCCGGAAGAAGACTCGGGGTCGCGACTCGGGGGCGAGTCTCGGGGACAAGACTCGGGGAGGAGACTCGGGGGGAGACTCGGGGACAAGACTCGGGGGGGAGACTCGGGACGAGACTCGGGGACGTGACGCGGGGAGGGGACGCGGGGAGGAGACTCGGGGGGAGACTCGGGGAGGAGACTCGGGGACGAGATTCGGGGACGAGACTCGGGGAGAAGTCTCGGGGTCGGAGGAGGACTCGGGGGGGAGACTCGGGGACAAGACTCGGGGACTAGCCTCGGAGGCGAGACTCGGGGACGCGATTCGTGGACGAGACTCGGGGTCGCGACTCGAGGGCGAGGCTCGGGGAGGGGGCTCGGGGAGGGGACTCGGGGACGAGACCCGGGGACGAGACTCGGGGAGGGGACTCGGGGAGGAGACTCGGGGGGGAGACTCGGGGACAAGACTCGGGGAGGAGACTCGGGGACGAGACTCGGGAGGAGACTCGGAGACGAGTCTCGGGGAGGAGACTGGGGGACGTGACTCGGGGTGGGGACTCGGGGAGGAGACTCGGGGGGGAGACTCGGGGAGGAGACTCGGGGACGAGACTCGGGGTCGAGATTCGGGGAGGAGACTCGGTGAGGAGACTCGGGGAGGAGACTTGGGGACGAAACTCGGCGACGAGACTCGGGGACGAGACTCGGGGACGAGACTCGTGGACGAGACTCGTTTGACGAATCTC